CTGAGGTATCAGCAATTCACTGAAGCGCGAAGGACTCTCAGTGACCTGCCCCCTTGGCTGCACGGGTCAGAGGTGTCACTGGGGTGGGCTGCCAGGAACAATGTGTGCCAGGCCCAGCTCTTTCCGTGTCCCACCGATGACAGCTGGGATGTGCCAGGCCAGCTGGCCCCGAGGGCTACGGGCAGTTGTGCGCTCCTTGTGCGCCACCGAGCTGCCCAGTCTCTTAGGTCAGCTCTTTCGTTCGGTCAGATCCGACTGTTCCGGAGGGCCAGGCCCGGCTCTTCCTCTTTGTTGGTCCAGGGCTTCGGGTGTTGTCACTCCAGCCCTTCCTGTACCAGCCTGTGCCTGCACTTCCGAGCACCATTTCTCACTGTTGCTGTGGGACGGGACTGGTTCTCCATTCGCATCGGTGCGGTCCAGCCATTCCTGACCATCCTTAGACACCCAGCTCTTCCTGGATGCCAGGTCCCGTTGTGCCCGTTTACGACGCACGACTGCTCCTGCAGGGAGGACGTGCGTTGAGTGTTTCTCCACTTCATCTACCGAGCTCTATATCCACGACGTTTCTGCTGGTCGCTTGTCTGTTTCTGCTCTCCGACTCCCCTGTGCTTAGGCGGCTGTCCATCCCACCCTTTCTCTCAGATCCTCCTGTAATCTTGTTGCGTGACCCTGCCACGGTTTCTCTGAGCTCATTACACATGCTCCCCATCGCGCCTCTGAATTCTTTATCGCAGGGATTGTGCTTGCCGACATTCCGTGTTGAGGCTTCAGGGCTCCTATCTCCGCGCCCTCCCTCGGGCCGGGGCTCTGCACTGTGTGCCCACGGTACCTGCGGTCGTCGCAGCATGGTTCTTTAAGCACGCTATCAGCATCCCACCCTCACTGCCAGGGAGGACTCTGGGGGGACTCGGTAGGTGGTGTTCTCTTCCTTTCCTGTCAAGATATGCCCTTCCGATTTGGTGTTCCTGTGTCACGGGTCTGCAGCCTCTTGCACTGGTTCAGGGAAGGAGTTCTTTGGCCTGAACTTACGGTTCTCTTTTGATTCGGGTTGTCTTGTTTCTCGTGCTCACTGTTACTTTTAGGGACTGCAGGGGGTCGGGTGTTGACGAGAGTAGGGGCTAATGGACTATGGGCCTAATGTGCTTGAGGTGGCCAGAGTGCCCTGGTGGAAGTTGAGTGTCAGAGGCCAAGACGTGGGTCTTCTTGGCTCTGGCCAGGGGGAGATGACCTGGCTGCCTACAGCTTGCAAAACCACGCCCACTGCTGGTCTGACCTATGGGAGGGGCCGATGGATCAGTTTTGGAGATCAGAGTTGGTGGCCAGGAGGGGAGTTCCTGTCTCAAGCTTTCCTGGAGCTTCTAAAACCTTGCGTAAGCCAGGCCCCGTGCGTGAGAGGGCTTGGCCGCGGTCCTACCTGCCTGCTCCGAAACACCGACTAGTATTTTCTGCCAGGACTGTTTGCACGTGCCTGCTTCAGCTGTGCCTTTGTACGCAGTCGAGACGTTCCTGAGGCCCATGCCTGGCTCTTCCCTTGTACCACGTAAGCTGTGCCTTTGTACAGCGTTCCGGTAGTTCCCCTGGGCTGGGTTGAGCTGTTCCTGTAGAGCTGAGTTTGGTTGTTCCCGTGGAACGCTTCTGGTCGTTCCTGTAGACAGACTTGCTGTTTCCATGTGCCACGTCCTACCGGCCCCGTGTGTCAGGTCCGACTGTTTGCTGGGCCGCGAGGTTGTCTTCTGTACCGGGTCCTGCTGTTCCAGTGTGTCAGCTCTGGCTGATGCTCCGCACCGCGTAGTAGGTCCCGCGGTTCCTTCGTAGCATCTCTGCTGCAGAGGCATCTCTACGTCCTAGGGCTGCTTTCGTGTCTGCGGGCTTGAGAGTTCGTGTGGCGCACGGACGACGCTTGCTGAGGATCGTGTCTGACTGGGTCTGTACACGAGGTCTGGCTGCTCCTGTCCACAAGACGTGCAGTTCAACGGGCCGTTCGCTCTCCCGTCTCTCCCCCCTCCTCCACACCCTCCTCCTCACCTGGCTCTCCCTGCACACACCTCTCCCTCCTGCTTGCCATGCCCATGTTTGCCCTCTTCCTCCACTCCTCCCTCCTCTCTCCTTCCTCCCCCAATCCCCCTCTCCCCTACCTGGCTCCTTCTCTGAGTCACGCCAGTCGCTTCCCTCGTGGCTGGGTCACCCGCTTCCTTCCGTCCTTCAGTGTGTGCCCCTGGTGTGCTCCTGGTCACTAGGGGCCCAGAGCCCACCGCCTTCCTCCGAGTGGTACCTCCACGGGCCTCTGGGACTGGCTTCTGGACTGTGCTGGGTGTGACTGCCAGCACGCTGTCGGGGAAAAGCTGGTGAGTGCTGCACGCCTGGACGCTGATCCCGGTCAGGCCATATCTCCCTGATGGGATCCTGTGCCTCATCAGGGCTCTCTCGCCCCATCTCCCCCCGCCCCCGCCCGCCAGGGCTGTCCCCAAGGTGGCCCGCTCAGGGCTGTCCCCAACGTGGGAAACTGCACTGGTCAGACGAGTTGCCTTCTGGGAGCCTGTGCCTCGGTTGGCGCTGTCCGCCCCGCAGGGTTGCTGTCCACCGCTGGTCATGGCTCTGCCCCGACAGTGAGCCCATGGCGGCCCTCTCCTCACCCTGCCCCTGGGGGAGCCTGATCTCGTTCTTCTTTCTAGTCCAGATCGGAGAGCAGAGGCTCTGAGGGTCTGCTCAGTGGCATCACCTGGAATCTGACCTCTCTGTCTCTGTTTCTGTCTCTCTCGCTCTTCCACGTGAACACACCTGGGCACAGAGACACGCCCACAGATGCACTCACACATTCACACGGAGGCACACACGGCATAAATACACAGACGGAGACAAATGCATGTGCACCAACGCACATGCACAGAGGCACACACACTCAGACAAGGAGGGCTTTTCATGCCCATGCACGCACACAAATCTGAGGACTTTCACACACACATACACACAACGTAGGGAAGGTCGGGCCTGTCCCGCAAAAAAGCATGCACACGAGCCCACACGGAGGTGAAGTGCCGAACACTCATGCACACCACTCTCTCTCTCTCTCTCTCTCTCTCTCTCTCTCTTGTCCTCTGTTTCACACACACGCGTGCGCACACACACACACACACTCACACACACTCTCTCTCTCTCTCCCAGACTCGTGGATGGAAAGCATAGACACTTCTAGTGTTGCTGGGTCCAAGCAGACTGAGCTGAGTCTCCCTGGGGCTGGACCACAGTTTCCTTGAGCACTGCTCTGGAGACCACACTATTAGGAACAAATCAAGTCAGCAGCAACCTGGTGAGCACCTGTGAGCCGCTGGCACCCTGTAGTCTCTCCAGGAAGCAATCGGTGACCTGGGCAAGGGCTCAACCCTGGGAGAGGCTGGGCAGAGAAGCTTCAGATGGAGTTCTGCTGGACCACGGCCCAGCTGTCCACACACAAGCCCGTGCCTCCAGCCTTCCCTTCGCTCGCTTCTGAAAGTCTCCTCCAGCCAAGCCTGGCCGAGCAAAGGTGTGGCAGGCACAGCAAGGCAGCCAGAGGTGAAAGTCACGGCTGCTACAAGTGGGCAGGAGGATGAACGTGTCCCCGGGCTCCGGAGACTCTCATGGGGAGGTGCCCAGAGTGCAGCAGGAAGGTCCTGTGCGCGTGGTCCCACAAGTGGCCCACCAAGGTGCACAGCGCATGCTAGTGGGCAGCTTTGAGGCCCACCACCCCTCCCGCCCGCCCGCCCCGCGCCCTCCTGATCCCCACCCCAGATCAGGGGACCACATCAGTGCTGTCATCTAAGGTCACCCTCAGCAGTGCCAGGAGGACCCTGCCGTGCTGGACATCTACCCTGCACCCTCTCTGCATGCAAGGCAGACGCACTCATGGGCGCATCGACCATTTCCCCAGCTCCGCAATGGGAAGTCAAGCTTGATGCAAACATCCTTCAAGCAGATGACAGCCATGCAGGGAAATTGGCCGTCGGCCCTGTTCCAAATTGTTGCACACGGTGCCAAGTCTTTTTCAAAGTTGCCCTGAGAATATGGGCAGACCTGTGGACAGAATCTGTCGTCCAGGGAAGTCGGATCCCCACGGGGAGCGGGGCCAGCAAGCTGCAGACACCGACAAGGATTCTGATCACCTGTCAGAGCCGTTCTGAAGGGAGCAGCCCACGGGAAAACCGCCGTTGCCACCACTGACCTGGAGCCACCGCAGGTCAGGAGTGTTTTCTCCAAGCCACCCTTTTCCTGGATTGGACCTCTCAGCTCATGTCATTGAAACCAACGCACGCGTAGAGCCAGAGAACAGGTCCTAAGCGTCTTGCCCATGTCCTTGTAGCTACCACTGCAGTAAAGCCTTTTCTCTCCTGCAAGGCCCCTGGATGGTGAGAGTTCCAGGCAGGGCTCTGTGTGTGTGTGTGTGTGTGTGTGTGTGTGTGTGTGTGTGTGCATGCCGGGGGGGAGGGTGGAGGCCTTGGGCTTCGTGTCACACGAGATGGCACAGATGGACATGGACCCACGACCCTGCCACAGTCAGAACCCAGATGTGACGGTTTCTCGAGCTCAGAGCACCTGCCTTTAGTCACGGCTCACCACACATTGCCTGGAATGCAGCAAAATAGCCACAAGGAAGTGGCCATGTGGCCAGCAGCTCAGCTGACCTGCGGGGATATAAGGCCCCGCCCCCAGCACCCTCCTCACTCACCCCTCCTCTCTCCTACTCACCTCCTCCACCTCTGACCCCATCCATCTCACTCGCCAGAACCATGGGCTGCTGTGGCTGTTCCGGAGGCTGTGGCTCCAGCTGTGGGGGCTGTGGCTCCAGCTGCTGTGTGCCCGTGTGCTGCTGCAAGCCTGTGTGCTGCTGCGTGCCCGCCTGCTGCTGCAGGGGCTGTGGCTCCGGCTGTGGGGGCTGTGGCTCCTGTGGTTCCTGTGGGGGCTGCGGCTCCTGTGGGGGCTGTGGCTCCTGTGGGGGCTGTGGCTCTTGTGGCTGCTGCCAGTCCAGCTGCTGTAAGCCCTGCTGTTGCCAGTCCAGCTGCTGTAAGCCCTGCTGTTGTTCGGGCTGTGGCTCCTGTGGCTGCTGCCAGTCCAGCTGCTGTAAGCCCTGCTGTTGCCAGTCCAGCTGCTGTAAGCCCTGCTGTAGTTCGGGCTGTGGCTCCTGTGGCTGCTGCCAGTCCAGCTGCTGTAAGCCCTGCTGTTGCCAGTCCAGCTGCTGTAAGCCCTGCTGTAGTTCGGGCTGTGGCTCCTGTGGCTGCTGCCAGTCCGGCTGCTGTAAGCCCTGCTGTTGTTCGGGCTGTGGCTCCTGTGGCTGCTGACAGTCCAGCTGTTTGGTTCCCATCTGCTGCCAGTGCAAACTCTGAGACTCGGCCCACGACTCCCCAGGCACGATTGTCTCTGCCTGGCCTCTCTCTGAATGTCCCACACCCAAACCTCATCCTTGTCCCTGTGCGACTATGAGGCCCTCGGTGCCAGCTCTCACACAGTCACAGATTGGGCCATTTCTCAGCCCCGGACACTGCGCCCCCTTGGGATCAAGGGATGGCTTTGCCCACAGGGCATCTCCACTTGACACGCTCCATTCTGCTCGCTGTGGGTACTGGGACATCATCTGCACTGGGCATGGCCTCAAGAAACATCCTTCCCCCTTACACAGAGAAGGGACCACTATGGCAACGAGGGTTGGAAATGATCACTCCGCCCAAGAATTGACAGCTGAAGGTTGGTTACGGGACATACATGCTAAACTTACAGTACCTGCACTGTAAACCATAAGGACCAAAATGAGAGAGACAGAGACAGAGACAGAGAGAGAGACAGAGACAGAGAGACAGAGACAGAGAGGCAGAGACAGAGAGACAGAGACAGAGACAGAGACAGAGAGACAGAGAGAGAGAGAGAGAGAAGGAGGGGGAGAAGGAGAAAAGTGCCTGCTACAGGCAGGCTAGGGATGAGGCTGTGGAAGGTGGGAGATTGGGGACATTTTTGGTGAGAAATGTGCACTGGTAAAGGGACAGGCGTTGCAGCGTTGTGTGACTGCAACCCAATCTGGACATATATGTGACTGCCTATCTCATAGTGGATAAGCAAAAAAATAATAAATAAAATTTTTGAAAAAATGCCATCAATATATCCTTCCGCCTCAATCTGCTGTGTCGGTTTCCTTGTCCTTGGGGGTGTGATGAACACATGCGTCCAACTCCAGTCACTTCCTCGCTGCCCGGGGCCTCCCCAGCCTCCAAGCCCTCGTGCTGGCCTAGCTGGTGCCACGTCCTGGGACCGGCCCATGCACAGGGCCCACGTGGGCAGATCTCTCTGCCTCGGCTCTACCTTTGCACTTCTTCCGGGGAACTGTGTCTTTCAGTCAGGATACGACTCTGCCCTGACACACTTCCTGATGACCAGTTTTCCTCTCCGCCTTCCAGCCACCTGCTTGGCGCATGGAGACCCTTGAAAGGAGCAGACGGTCCCCCTTCGTCTCCTGAACACTACACCTTGTTCAGTGCAGCGTCGTGCAGTGGGCTGGGTGTCGATTCCGCTGACCGTGCAACACGGCAAGCCAGTCCACTGGCTGGGGACTCCTGCTCCGCACCTGCTCTCCATCTGCATCTGGGTCTGGGTCTGGGTCTGGGTCTGGGTCTGAGAAGTTTCTGAGACACAGGACTCAGGCTGGGGGGAACTCGGGGCTCTCAGCCGCCACAGTAGATCGTGCTTGATCTTCATCTTCAAGTTCTTCTTCTCTTGAGAGTCAAAGTGATGCTTGCTCTGCTGAGGTATCAGCAATTCACTGAAGCGCGAAGGACTCTCAGTGACCTGCCCCCTTGGCTGCACGGGTCAGAGGTGTCACTGGGGTGGGCTGCCAGGAACAATGTGTGCCAGGCCCAGCTCTTTCCGTGTCCCACCGATGACAGCTGGGATGTGCCAGGCCAGCTGGCCCCGAGGGCTACGGGCAGTTGTGCGCTCCTTGTGCGCCACCGAGCTGCCCAGTCTCTTAGGTCAGCTCTTTCGTTCGGTCAGATCCGTCTGTTCCGGAGGGCCAGGCCCGGCTCTTCCTCTTTGTTGGTCCAGGGCTTCGGGTGTTGTCACTCCAGCCCTTCCTGTACCAGCCTGTGCCTGCACTTCCGAGCACCATTTCTCACTGTTGCTGTGGGACGGGACTGGTTCTCCATTCGCATCGGTGCGGTCCAGCCATTCCTGACCATCCTTAGACACCCAGCTCTTCCTGGATGCCAGGTCCCGTTGTTCCCGTTTACGACGCACGACTGCTCCTGCAGGGAGGACGTGCGTTGAGTGTTTCTCCACTTCATCTACCGAGCTCTATATCCACGACGTTTCTGCTGGTCGCTTGTCTGTTTCTGCTCTCCGACTCCCCTGTGCTTAGGCGGCTGTCCATCCCACCCTTTCTCTCAGATCCTCCTGTAATCTTGTTGCGTGACCCTGCCACGGTTTCTCTGAGCTCATTACACATGCTCCCCATCGCGCCTCTGAATTCTTTATCGCAGGGATTGTGCTTGCCGACATTCCGTGTTGAGGCTTCAGGGCTCCTATCTCCGCGCCCTCCCTCGGGCCGGGGCTCTGCACTGTGTGCCCACGGTACCTGCGGTCGTCGCAGCATGGTTCTTTAAGCACGCTATCAGCATCCCACCCTCACTGCCAGGGAGGACTCTGGGGGGACTCGGTGGGTGGTGTTCTCTTCCTTTCCTGTCAAGATATGCCCTTCCGATTTGGTGTTCCTGTGTCACGGGTCTGCAGCCTCTTGCACTGGTTCAGGGAAGGAGTTCTTTGGCCTGAACTTACGGTTCTCTTTTGATTCGGGTTGTCTTGTTTCTCGTGCTCACTGTTACTTTTAGGGACTGCAGGGGGTCGGGTGTTGACGAGAGTAGGGGCTAATGGACTATGGGCCTAATGTGCTTGAGGTGGCCAGAGTGCCCTGGTGGAAGTTGAGTGTCAGAGGCCAAGACGTGGGTCTTCTTGGCTCTGGCCAGGGGGAGATGACCTGGCTGCCTACAGCTTGCAAAACCACGCCCACTGCTGGTCTGACCTATGGGAGGGGCCGATGGATCAGTTTTGGAGATCAGAGTTGGTGGCCAGCAGGGGAGTTCCTGTCTCAAGCTTTCCTGGAGCTTCTAAAACCTTGCGTAAGCCGGGCCCCGTGCGTGAGAGGGCTTGGCCGCGGTCCTACCTGCCTGCTCCGAAACACCGACTAGTATTTTCTGCCAGGACTGTTTGCACGTGCCTGCTTCAGCTGTGCCTTTGTACGCAGTCGAGACGTTCCTGAGGCCCATGCCTGGCTCTTCCCTTGTACCACGTAAGCTGTGCCTTTGTACAGCGTTCCGGTAGTTCCCCTGAGCTGGGTTGAGCTGTTCCTGTAGAGCTGAGTTTGGTTGTTCCCGTGGAACGCTTCTGGTCGTTCCTGTAGACAGACTTGCTGTTTCCATGTGCCACGTCCTACCGGCCCCGTGTGTCAGGTCCGACTGTTTGCTGGGCCGCGAGGTTGTCTTCTGTACCGGGTCCTGCTGTTCCAGTGTGTCAGCTCTGGCTGATGCTCCGCACCGCGTAGTAGGTCCCGCGGTTCCTTCGTAGCATCTCTGCTGCAGAGGCATCTCTACGTCCTAGGGCTGCTTTCGTGTCTGCGGGCTTGAGAGTTCGTGTGGCGCACGGACGACGCTTGCTGAGGATCGTGTCTGACTGGGTCTGTACACGAGGTCTGGCTGCTCCTGTCCACAAGACGTGCAGTTCAACGGGCCGTTCGCTCTCCCGTCTCTCCCCCCTCCTCCACACCCTCCTCCTCACCTGGCTCTCCCTGCACACACCTCTCCCTCCTGCTTGCCATGCCCATGTTTGCCCTCTTCCTCCACTCCTCCCTCCTCTCTCCTTCCTCCCCCAATCCCCCTCTCCCCTACCTGGCTCCTTCTCTGAGTCACGCCAGTCGCTTCCCTCGTGGCTGGGTCACCCGCTTCCTTCCGTCCTTCAGTGTGTGCCCCTGGTGTGCTCCTGGTCACTAGGGGCCCAGAGCCCACCGCCTTCCTCCGAGTGGTACCTCCACGGGCCTCTGGGACTGGCTTCTGGACTGTGCTGGGTGTGACTGCCAGCACGCTGTCGGGGAAAAGCTAGTGAGTGCTGCACGCCTGGACGCTGATCCCGGTCAGGCCATATCTCCCGGATGGGATCCTGTGCCTCATCAGGGCTCTCTCGCCCCATCTCCCCCCGCCCCCGCCCGCCAGGGCTGTCCCCAAGGTGGCCCGCTCAGGGCTGTCCCCAACGTGGGAAACTGCACTGGTCAGACGAGTTGCCTTCTGGGAGCCTGTGCCTCGGTTGGCGCTGTCCGCCCCGCAGGGTTGCTGTCCACCGCCGGTCATGGCTCTGCCCCGACAGTGAGCCCATGGCGGCCCTCTCCTCACCCTGCCCCTGGGGGAGCCTGACCTCGTTCTTCTTTCTAGTCCAGATCGGAGAGCAGAGGCTCTGAGGGTCTGCTCAGTGGCATCACCTGGAATCTGACCTCTCTGTCTCTGTTTCTGTCTCTCTCGCTCTTCCACGTGAACACACCTGGGCACAGAGACACGCCCACAGATGCACTCACACATTCACACGGAGGCACACACGGCATAAATACACAGACGGAGACAAATGCATGTGCACCAACGCACATGCACAGAGGCACACACACTCAGACAAGGAGGGCTTTTCATGCCCATGCACGCACACAAATCTGAGGACTTTCACACACACATACACACAACGTAGGGAAGGTCGGGCCTGTCCCGCAAAAAAGCATGCACACGAGCCCACACGGAGGTGAAGTGCCGAACACTCATGCACACCACTCTCTCTCTCTCTCTCTCTCTCTCTCTCTCTCTCTCTCTCTCTCTCTCTCTTGTCCTCTGTTTCACACACACGCGTGCGCACACACACACACACACACACTCACACACACTCTCTCTCTCTCTCCCAGACTCGTGGATGGAAAGCATAGACACTTCTAGTGTTGCTGGGTCCAAGCAGACTGAGCTGAGTCTCCCTGGGGCTGGACCACAGTTTCCTTGAGCACTGCTCTGGAGACCACACTATTAGGAACAAATCAAGTCAGCAGCAACCTGGTGAGCACCTGTGAGCCGCTGGCACCCTGTAGTCTCTCCAGGAAGCAATCGGTGACCTGGGCAAGGGCTCAACCCTGGGAGAGGCTGGGCAGAGAAGCTTCAGATGGAGTTCTGCTGGACCACGGCCCAGCTGTCCACACACAAGCCCGTGCCTCCAGCCTTCCCTTCGCTCGCTTCTGAAAGTCTCCTCCAGCCAAGCCTGGCCAAGCAAAGGTGTGGCAGGCACAGCAAGGCAGCCAGAGGTGAAAGTCACGGCTGCTACAAGTGGGCAGGAGGACGAACGTGTCCCCGGGCTCCGGAGACTCCCATGGGGAGGTGCCCAGAGTGCAGCAGGAAGGTCCTGTGCGCGTGGTCCCACAAGTGGCCCACCAAGGTGCACAGCGCATGCTAGTGGGCAGCTTTGAGGCCCACCACCCCTCCCGCCCGCCCGCCCCGCGCCCTCCTGATCCCCACCCCAGATCAGGGGACCACATCAGTGCTGTCATCTAAGGTCACCCTCAGCAGTGCCAGGAGGACCCTGCCGTGCTGGACATCTACCCTGCACCCTCTCTGCATGCAAGGCAGACGCACTCATGGGCGCATCGACCATTTCCCCAGCTCCGCAATGGGAAGTCAAGCTTGATGCAAACATCCTTCAAGCAGATGACAGCCATGCAGGGAAATTGGCCGTCGGCCCTGTTCCAAATTGTTGCACACGGTGCCAAGTCTTTTTCAAAGTTGCCCTGAGAATATGGGCAGACCTGTGGACAGAATCTGTCGTCCAGGGAAGTCGGATCCCCACGGGGAGCGGGGCCAGCGAGCTGCAGACACCGACAAGGATTCTGATCACCTGTCAGAGCCGTTCTGAAGGGAGCAGCCCACGGGAAAACCGCCGTTGCCACCACTGACCTGGAGCCACCGCTGGTCAGGAGTGTTTTCTCCAAGCCACCCTTTTCCTGGATTGGACCTCTCAGCTCATGTCATTGAAACCAACGCACGCGTAGAGCCAGAGAACAGGTCCTAAGCGTCTTGCCCATGTCCTTGTAGCTACCACTGCAGTAAAGCCTTTTCTCTCCTGCAAGGCCCCTGGATGGTGAGAGTTCCAGGCAGGGCTCTGTGTGTGTGTGTGTGTGTGTGTGTGTGTGTGTGTGTGCATGCCGGGGGGGAGGGTGGAGGCCTTGGGCTTCGTGTCACACGAGATGGCACAGATGGACATGGACCCACGACCCTGCCACAGTCAGAACCCAGATGTGACGGTTTCTCGAGCTCAGAGCACCTGCCTTTAGTCACGGCTCACCACACATTGCCTGGAATGCAGCAAAATAGCCACAAGGAAGTGGCCATGTGGCCAGCAGCTCAGCTGACCTGCGGGGATATAAGGCCCCGCCCCCAGCACCCTCCTCACTCACCCCTCCTCTCTCCTACTCACCTCCTCCACCTCTGACCCCGTCCATCTCACTCGCCAGAACCATGGGCTGCTGTGGCTGTTCCGGAGGCTGTGGCTCCAGCTGTGGGGGCTGTGGCTCCAGCTGCTGTGTGCCCGTGTGCTGCTGCAAGCCTGTGTGCTGCTGCGTGCCCGCCTGCTGCTGCGGGGGCTGTGGCTCCGGCTGTGGGGGCTGTGGCTCCTGTGGTTCCTGTGGGGGCTGCGGCTCCTGTGGGGGCTGTGGCTCCTGTGGGGGCTGTGGCTCTTGTGGCTGCTGCCAGTCCAGCTGCTGTAAGCCCTGCTGTTGCCAGTCCAGCAGCTGTAAGCCCTGCTGTTGTTCGGGCTGTGGCTCCTGTGGCTGCTGCCAGTCCAGCTGCTGTAAGCCCTGCTGTTGCCAGTCCAGCTGCTGTAAGCCCTGCTGTAGTTCGGGCTGTGGCTCCTGTGGCTGCTGCCAGTCCAGCTGCTGTAAGCCCTGCTGTTGCCAGTCCAGCTGCTGTAAGCCCTGCTGTAGTTCGGGCTGTGGCTCCTGTGGCTGCTGCCAGTCCGGCTGCTGTAAGCCCTGCTGTTGTTCGGGCTGTGGCTCCTGTGGCTGCTGACAGTCCAGCTGTTTGGTTCCCATCTGCTGCCAGTGCAAACTCTGAGACTCGGCCCACGACTCCCCAGGCACGATTGTCTCTGCCTGGCCTCTCTCTGAATGTCCCACACCCAAACCTCATCCTTGTCCCTGTGCGACTATGAGGCCCTCGGTGCCAGCTCTCACACAGTCACAGATTGGGCCATTTCTCAGCCCCGGACACTGCGCCCCCTTGGGATCAAGGGATGGCTTTGCCCACAGGGCATCTCCACTTGACACGCTCCATTCTGCTCGCTGTGGGTACTGGGACATCATCTGCACTGGGCATGGCCTCAAGAAACATCCTTCCCCCTTACACAGAGAAGGGACCACTATGGCAACGAGGGTTGGAAATGATCACTCCGCCCAAGAATTGACAGCTGAAGGTTGGTTACGGGACATACATGCTAAACTTACAGTACCTGCACTGTAAACCATAAGGACCAAAATGAGAGAGAGAGAGAGACAGAGACAGAGACAGAGAGAGAGACAGAGACAGAGAGGCAGAGACAGAGAGGCAGAGACAGAGAGACAGAGACAGAGACAGAGACAGAGAGACAGAGAGAGAGAGAGAGAGAAGGAGGGGGAGAAGGAGAAAAGTGCCTGCTACAGGCAGGCTAGGGATGAGGCTGTGGAAGGTGGGAGATTGGGGACATTTTTGGTGAGAAATGTGCACTGGTAAAGGGACAGGCGTTGCAGCGTTGTGTGACTGCAACCCAATCTGGACATATATGTGACTGCCTATCTCATAGTGGATAAGCAAAAAAATAATAAATAAAATTTTTGAAAAAATGCCATCAATATATCCTTCCGCCTCAATCTGCTGTGTCGGTTTCCTTGTCCTTGGGGGTGTGATGAACACATGCGTCCAACTCCAGTCACTTCCTCGCTGCCCGGGGCCTCCCCAGCCTCCAAGCCCTCGTGCTGGCCTAGCTGGTGCCACGTCCTGGGACCGGCCCATGCACAGGGCCCACGTGGGCAGATCTCTCTGCCTCGGCTCTACCTTTGCACTTCTTCCGGGGAACTGTGTCTTTCAGTCAGGATACGACTCTGCCCTGACACACTTCCTGATGACCAGTTTTCCTCTCCGCCTTCCAGCCACCTGCTTGGCGCATGGAGACCCTTGAAAGGAGCAGACGGTCCCCCTTCGTCTCCTGAACACTACACCTTGTTCAGTGCAGCGTCGTGCAGTGGGCTGGGTGTCGATTCCGCTGACCGTGCAACACGGCAAGCCAGTCCACTGGCTGGGGACTCCTGCTCCGCACCTGCTCTCCATCTGCATCTGGGTCTGGGTCTGGGTCTGGGTCTGGGTCTGAGAAGTTTCTGAGACACAGGACTCAGGCTGGGGGGAACTCGGGGCTCTCAGCCGCCACAGTAGATCGTGCTTGATCTTCATCTTCAAGTTCTTCTTCTCTTGAGAGTCAAAGTGATGCTTGCTCTGCTGAGGTATCAGCAATTCACTGAAGCGCGAAGGACTCTCAGTGACCTGCCCCCTTGGCTGCACGGGTCAGAGGTGTCACTGGGGTGGGCTGCCAGGAACAATGTGTGCCAGGCCCAGCTCTTTCCGTGTCCCACCGATGACAGCTGGGATGTGCCAGGCCAGCTGGCCCCGAGGGCTACGGGCAGTTGTGCGCTCCTTGTGCGCCACCGAGCTGCCCAGTCTCTTAGGTCAGCTCTTTCGTTCGGTCAGATCCGTCTGTTCCGGAGGGCCAGGCCCGGCTCTTCCTCTTTGTTGGTCCAGGGCTTCGGGTGTTGTCACTCCAGCCCTTCCTGTACCAGCCTGTGCCTGCACTTCCGAGCACCATTTCTCACTGTTGCTGTGGGACGGGACTGGTTCTCCATTCGCATCGGTGCGGTCCAGCCATTCCTGACCATCCTTAGACACCCAGCTCTTCCTGGATGCCAGGTCCCGTTGTTCCCGTTTACGACGCACGACTGCTCCTGCAGGGAGGACGTGCGTTGAGTGTTTCTCCACTTCATCTACCGAGCTCTATATCCACGACGTTTCTGCTGGTCGCTTGTCTGTTTCTGCTCTCCGACTCCCCTGTGCTTAGGCGGCTGTCCATCCCACCCTTTCTCTCAGATCCTCCTGTAATCTTGTTGCGTGACCCTGCCACGGTTTCTCTGAGCTCATTACACATGCTCCCCATCGCGCCTCTGAATTCTTTATCGCAGGGATTGTGCTTGCCGACATTCCGTGTTGAGGCTTCAGGGCTCCTATCTCCGCGCCCTCCCTCGGGCCGGGGCTCTGCACTGTGTGCCCACGGTACCTGCGGTCGTCGCAGCATGGTTCTTTAAGCACGCTATCAGCATCCCACCCTCACTGCCAGGGAGGACTCTGGGGGGACTCGGTGGGTGGTGTTCTCTTCCTTTCCTGTCAAGATATGCCCTTCCGATTTGGTGTTCCTGTGTCACGGGTCTGCAGCCTCTTGCACTGGTTCAGGGAAGGAGTTCTTTGGCCTGAACTTACGGTTCTCTTTTGATTCGGGTTGTCTTGTTTCTCGTGCTCACTGTTACTTTTAGGGACTGCAGGGGGTCGGGTGTTGACGAGAGTAGGGGCTAATGGACTATGGGCCTAATGTGCTTGAGGTGGCCAGAGTGCCCTGGTGGAAGTTGAGTGTCAGAGGCCAAGACGTGGGTCTTCTTGGCTCTGGCCAGGGGGAGATGACCTGGCTGCCTACAGCTTGCAAAACCACGCCCACTGCTGGTCTGACCTATGGGAGGGGCCGATGGATCAGTTTTGGAGATCAGAGTTGGTGGCCAGGAGGGGAGTTCCTGTCTCAAGCTTTCCTGGAGCTTCTAAAACCTTGCGTAAGCCGGGCCCCGTGCGTGAGAGGGCTTGGCCGCGGTCCTACCTGCCTGCTCCGAAACACCGACTAGTATTTTCTGCCAGGACTGTTTGCACGTGCCTGCTTCAGCTGTGCCTTTGTACGCAGTCGAGACGTTCCTGAGGCCCATGCCTGGCTCTTCCCTTGTACCACGTAAGCTGTGCCTTTGTACAGCGTTCCGGTAGTTCCCCTGGGCTGGGTTGAGCTGTTCCTGTAGAGCTGAGTTTGGTTGTTCCCGTGGAACGCTTCTGGTCGTTCCTGTAGACAGACTTGCTGTTTCCATGTGCCACGTCCTACCGGCCCCGTGTGTCAGGTCCGACTGTTTGCTGGGCCGCGAGGTTGTCTTCTGTACCGGGTCCTGCTGTTCCAGTGTGTCAGCTCTGGCTGATGCTCCGCACCGCGTAGTAGGTCCCGCGGTTCCTTCGTAGCATCTCTGCTGCAGAGGCATCTCTACGTCCTAGGGCTGCTTTCGTGTCTGCGGGCTTGAGAGTTCGTGTGGCGCACGGACGACGCTTGCTGAGGATCGTGTCTGACTGGGTCTGTACACGAGGTCTGGCTGCTCCTGTCCACAAGACGTGCAGTTCAACGGGCCGTTCGCTCTCCCGTCTCTCCCCCCTCCTCCACACCCTCCTCCTCACCTGGCTCTCCCTGCACACACCTCTCCCTCCTGCTTGCCATGCCCATGTTTGCCCTCTTCCTCCACTCCTCCCTCCTCTCTCCTTCCTCCCCCAATCCCCCTCTCCCCTACCTGGCTCCTTCTCTGAGTCACGCCAGTCGCTTCCCTCGTGGCTGGGTCACCCGCTTCCTTCCGTCCTTCAGTGTGTGCCCCTGGTGTGCTCCTGGTCACTAGGGGCCCAGAGCCCACCGCCTTCCTCCGAGTGGTACCTCCACGGGCCTCTGGGACTGGCTTCTGGACTGTGCTGGGTGTGACTGCCAGCACGCTGTCGGGGAAAAGCTAGTGAGTGCTGCACGCCTGGACGCTGATCCCGGTCAGGCCATATCTCCCGGATGGGATCCTGTGCCTCATCAGGGCTCTCTCGCCCCATCTCCCCCCGCCCCCGCCCGCCAGGGCTGTCCCCAAGGTGGCCCGCTCAGGGCTGTCCCCAACGTGGGAAACTGCACTGGTCAGACGAGTTGCCTTCTGGGAGCCTGTGCCTCGGTTGGCGCTGTCCGCCCCGCAGGGTTGCTGTCCACCGCCGGTCATGGCTCTGCCCCGACAGTGAGCCCATGGCGGCCCTCTCCTCACCCTGCCCCTGGGGGAGCCTGACCTCGTTCTTCTTTCTAGTCCAGATCGGAGAGCAGAGGCTCTGAGGGTCTGCTCAGTGGCATCACCTGGAATCTGACCTCTCTGTCTCTGTTTCTGTCTCTCTCGCTCTTCCACGTGAACACACCTGGGCACAGAGACACGCCCACAGATGCACTCACACATTCACACGGAGGCACACACGGCATAAATACACAGACGGAGACAAATGCATGTGCACCAACGCACATGCACAGAGGCACACACACTCAGACAAGGAGGGCTTTTCATGCCCATGCACGCACACAAATCTGAGGACTTTCACACACACATACACACAACGTAGGGAAGGTCGGGCCTGTCCCGCAAAAAAGCATGCACACGAGCCCACACGGAGGTGAAGTGCCGAACACTCATGCACACCACTCTCTCTCTCTCTCTCTCTCTCTCTCTCTCTCTCTCTCTCTCTCTCTTGTCCTCTGTTTCACACACACGCGTGCGCACACACACACACACACACACTCACACACACTCTCTCTCTCTCTCCCAGACTCGTGGATGGAAAGCATAGACACTTCTAGTGTTGCTGGGTCCAAGCAGACTGAGCTGAGTCTCCCTGGGGCTGGACCACAGTTTCCTTGAGCACTGCTCTGGAGACCACACTATTAGGAACAAATCAAGTCAGCAGCAACCTGGTGAGCACCTGTGAGCCGCTGGCACCCTGTAGTCTCTCCAGGAAGCAATCGGTGACCTGGGCAAGGGCTCAACCCTGGGAGAGGCTGGGCAGAGAAGCTTCAGATGGAGTTCTGCTGGACCACGGCCCAGCTGTCCACACACAAGCCCGTGCCTCCAGCCTTCCCTTCGCTCGCTTCTGAAAGTCTCCTCCAGCCAAGCCTGGCCGAGCAAAGGTGTGGCAGGCACAGCAAGGCAGCCAGAGGTGAAAGTCACGGCTGCTACAAGTGGGCAGGAGGACGAACGTGTCCCCGGGCTCCGGAGACTCCCATGGGGAGGTGCCCAGAGTGCAGCAGGAAGGTCCTGTGCGCGTGGTCCCACAAGTGGCCCACCAAGGTGCACAGCGCATGCTAGTGGGCAGCTTTGAGGCCCACCACCCCTCCCGCCCGCCCGCCCCGCGCCCTCCTGATCCCCACCCCAGATCAGGGGACCACATCAGTGCTGTCATCTAAGGTCACCCTCAGCAGTGCCAGGAGGACCCTGCCGTGCTGGACATCTACCCTGCACCCTCTCTGCATGCAAGGCAGACGCACTCATGGGCGCATCGACCATTTCCCCAGCTCCGCAATGGGAAGTCAAGCTTGATGCAAACATCCTTCAAGCAGATGACAGCCATGCAGGGAAATTGGCCGTCGGCCCTGTTCCAAATTGTTGCACACGGTGCCAAGTCTTTTTCAAAGTTGCCCTGAGAATATGGGCAGACCTGTGGACAGAATCTGTCGTCCAGGGAAGTCGGATCCCCACGGGGAGTGGGGCCAGCGAGCTGCAGACACCGACAAGGATTCTGATCACCTGTCAGAGCCGTTCTGAAGGGAGCAGCCCACGGGAAAACCGCCGTTGCCACCACTGACCTGGAGCCACCGCTGGTCAGGAGTGTTTTCTCCAAGCCACCCTTTTCCTGGATTGGACCTCTCAGCTCATGTCATTGAAACCAACGCACGCGTAGAGCCAGAGAACAGGTCCTAAGCGTCTTGCCCATGTCCTTGTAGCTACCACTGCAGTAAAGCCTTTTCTCTCCTGCAAGGCCCCTGGATGGTGAGAGTTCCAGGCAGGGCTCTGTGTGTGTGTGTGTGTGTGTGTGTGTGTGTGTGTGTGTGTGCATGCCGGGGGGGAGGGTGGAGGCCTTGGGCTTCGTGTCACACGAGATGGCACAGATGGACATGGACCCACGACCCTGCCACAGTCAGAACCCAGATGTGACGGTTTCTCGAGCTCAGAGCACCTGCCTTTAGTCACGGCTCACCACACATTGCCTGGAATGCAGCAAAATAGCCACAAGGAAGTGGCCATGTGGCCAGCAGCTCAGCTGACCTGCGGGGATATAAGGCCCCGCCCCCAGCACCCTCCTCACTCAC